CCAAGCGCCTTTGCTGCAGACCCGGGCGCTTGGTTGCTCCCGCGATGCAACCCCCCCCCCCCCCGCCGAGGCCGACCGATGCCCTGCTGAGCCTCACCAGGTATCAACCTCACCGCACGTCACTGTTTAAGACATGGGACGGAGCCAAAGTTCTTCGTAAAGAACATTCATCTCAAGCTTTCCAGGTGTGGATGGAGGAGGCCTAGTTTTGTGTCAGTATTCTACAGGCGACTCTGAACATAATTTAGGCCAGTGATAGCAAATCTTTTAGGCACAGAGTGTCCAAACTGGAAGGCGCATGCCAGAGCATCAGAAACCAATGACCAGCTGGGCAGCATGCATGTGCACCTCAGAAACCCAACAACCAGTTGGCTGAGCTGGGGCCATGGCATGCGTGCCCACAGAGCGGGCTCTGCATGTCACCTCTGGCACACATGCCATAGGTTCACTATCATGGGGTTAGAAGGTCTGTTGGCTTATTTACAAGGCTGCAAGATTATTTTTTATCTTATTCATTTTAAAAAGAATTATATAGCTGTCCCTGTTGTAACCACAACCTGGGCAGCTCACAGAACAATAAAAATTTCACCTCCAGTGGAGGAGTTTGGGGAGGAACACGGGCCAGTCCTGGAGTCTGGAAAAGGCTCTGATGAGGCAGAGATGTGGCCAGGGCCATCCGACAGTTATCAGCTACCCTCAAAGTCAGAGATCAGTGGGGCAGAAGAACAGTTCTGGAGCCTGTGCCCGATGTGCCCATGCACAGACCTGCCAGGAGAAGGGAACAATTAAGGAGCAGAGATCGACTCGGGAGTAAAGGCCCAAGGGGACACTGAATGACCCCTCCCATAGGGAATAAATAGGAGTGAAAGGGGAGGGGTGTTTGCAGGAGACAATTAGTTTGTTAGTGTGAAGATTTGCTTATCTAAAAGACTCCTTGCCAAGTATTTCCTTATACAGTGTTGCATCTGGAAGCTATCGACCTGGCAACTATCCAAGGACTGATAAGGTCTGTGTTTGCAATTTACCCTTGAAAGACTGTTTGATGGGACATTGCTGGATGTGAATGCTAGGAATTCACTTAAGCCAAAAAAGGGGTGTTTTTTTCGGGACAAGGAGTCTGTTTTGTGATCTGGTGAAGCCTAGGTCAGAATAGTCTCTGCCAAGAACAGTGATGGCTAATCTTTTTAGCTCCTGTGCCAAAAGCAGGGGAAGAGCAGGGGGGGGGTCATGCGTGGGCGTGCCACACCTATAATGCCATGCACGCAACCCTAACGTGCATGCACACACTACACCCCGCACGCATCTCCATGCAACCGGTGCTCCCCCTGCTTTTGGCATGCTTTTTTTGCCCTCCCCAGGCTCCAGAGGCTTTCTAGGAACCTGGGAAGGGCAAAACCAGCCCCCCGCCCCCCAGAGGCCCTCCGGCAGCTTCCCTGAAGGCTCCGGAGGGCAAAAAACAGCCCTATGAACAAACTGGAAGTCCGTTCCTGAACTTCTGGTTTGCACATAGGGCTGTTTTTTCGCGCTGGAGAGTGAAAAATGGCCTCAAAAGAAGGCCGAAGTTAGCTGGCCAGTGCGCACATGCGCACTGGAGCTGACAAGGCAACACCTCATGTGCCCTATCAAATGGCTCTTCGCCATCACGGATATAGGGTCTCTGCTTAGATCAAAAGATTTCCAAGGTCCTTTCTAACTCTGTTATTATGTACAACATGCCTTTATCACACAGTTCTCATCATGCTACAGTAAGACTTTAGAATTTGATTTGAACAGACGGGATTACATTCAGTTCATTTTTTTTTTATTAAACTTAGCTAGCATATGGGATTGAATTTATAAGGAGAAGCAATTGGGTTTTGTTGTTTTAAAAAAATCTGACTTTGGAACAAAACATAGCAAGCACTCGGTAACTCAGATTTTGCTCTTCAAAGTAGAGAGAATATGTACATGTATATATATTTGCATCCCTTTGCTTCAAAGAATGATATTGTCTTCCTTAGATTGGTCTTTCCAGTCGTCAGATATGTCAAATGTGGTACTTTCCAGATGTGTTAATTATATTCCTCATCGTTTCTGGTAAAACAATAAAGTTGGCCTGGAATTATGGGAAATGTACTTCAACACATCTGCAGAGCGTTAGGCTGGGAAATGATAATGGACAATGGAGATAAGATAACCAACTTCTTTCTTTTTCATTTTTGCTCCTATGAATCAGCCTTAATTCCTGGCAAGTGCTGGGAGGAGTCCCTGCAGTTGTCTTGGCAATGTTGATAAAAGTGGTTTGTCATTGTCTTATTACTAAGACAGGCAGAGAATGAATGGCCCAAGGTCATACAGCTGGCTTCCTGCCTAAGGCAGGACTAGGATTCACAGTCTCCTGGTTTCTAGCCTGGTGCCTTAACCACTACCCCAAACTGGGTCTCAAGATTGAGAATGTAGCGTATTTTTCGAAATATAAGATGCACTGGAGTATAAGATGCACCTAGATTTTGAAAAGGAAAACAAGGGGAAAATAGTTTTTAGCTTCTGCACATCCAGTTTTTGCCCTCCCCAGCTTCCAGGAGCACCCTGCAGGAGCCCAAAACCCTCTGCATGTCCCAGATTTGGCCTCCCAAAGCCAAAATGAGCCTGTTTCTGGCAAAAAATGGGATGCCTGGGGGGAGGGGTTCGCAAGGCCAAAAAACAAGGCTGTATTCGATCTATAAGGCACACAGACATTTCCACCCAATTTTCTTTTGCGGGGGGGGGGGAGTACATCTTATAGTCCAAAAATACGGTAATTTTCAGCACCACAGGCAGCTGAAGGATGGGTGCTAGTGGCAATGTTAATTCAGTACGTTACTGTGCTATATTTGGCGATACTTTAAAAAAGAATAGAATAGAATAATAGAATAGAGTAGAGTAGAGTAGAGTAGAGTAGAATAGAATAGAATAGAATAGAATAGAATAGAATAGAATAGAATAAAATAGTGTGATTGGACACAAGGAATTTGTCTTTGGTGCATATGCTTTCAGTATACTTAAAAATAGATTCATCAATAATAATAAGATACAACACTTAGGATAGTCATAGGATATTAAAAAGCAATCAAATCATACTAGGAAACTAAATAAGACAATATAAATCCTAAAGATACAAGCAACAATGCTATGACTATAAGTGGGAGGAGGTAGGTACCCTGTTTCTCTGAAAATAAGACCACCCCCAGATAATTAGCCCAATCGGGCTTTTTAGTGCATGTGCTAAAATAAGCCCTCCCCCCAAAATAAGACCTCCCTGAAAATAGTGCAACACAGCAGCAGCCATGAGGTGACCACGCTCGCCACCTCCTGCACCTCAAATATAATAAGACCTCCCCGAAAATAAGGACAAGCACTAATTTCAGGGGTCAAAACNGAGCCCTGGTCTTTCGTAAGTAGATTACAAACAACAATAGAAGAGAATATTTGTAGTTCAGGGTTGAGCTGTAGAGTTCTTGGTGCTCTCAGAGCTTGTTTTCTTGTAGACTTTTCATTACCGAATTAGGTAACATCTCTGTCTGCAAGAAAACAACCAAGCTCAGCATCAGGTTCTTGTTTATAGTCACAACAAAGAGTTCATCTGCTTCAAAGACCCTCTAAGGTAAAGGTAAAGGTTCCCCTCGCACATATGTGCTAGTCGTTCCTGATTCTAGGGGGCGGTGCTCATCTCCATTTCAAAGCCAAAGAGCCAGTG